ACGTTACAGAACGGTAGCACAGATGCTTGGAAGCCATAGTACTACCCCGAGAGCGTACATCTGTTAGCGCGTGCCATAGTGGTCTGCATGAGACTCACTTGATAGAAGCTAAGCGGGTCCATGAGCACGCCCGCCGCAGTCACGTCGCTCGTATTCGCCGCTCTCGCCCTCGTCACATCCTCCCCGCGCGCGCTCAACAGCCGGAACTTCAGCTCCGCCACCTCATCGGCCGTTCCATTCAGGAGCCTGTCGTCCACAAAGCGCGTCACGGCGACCCAGTCCGCGGAGCAGTTGCGCGTGAGGCTGCGCTCCGCGGCCATGTAGTACGCGGCCATGTCGACCTGCGCGTGCACGGGCGCGGAGGACGCCCACACTGCAAAAATCGTCTCGGGGTTGCGCACGCGCAGGAGCGCGCCGCGCACGCCTGGGTATGAGCCTCCGAGCCAGACCCAGGGCGTGTTGGAGGGATGCAGAGGGTTGGATGATGTCGAAAGGTTGGCGAGAGACGGGGGATTAGTAGCGTTTGTGGGAAGGGAGAACCTCTTGGCGAAGTAGACGACGTCCTCGAGGGACTGCTCCGTAGTTAGGAACTGCCACTGTTCTGCTGTTGTGTGTTCCTGCGACCGAATGTGCACCATAAGAAACTCCCACTGCTGTGACCTGAATCACATCTCGACACTCACATTCACCGGGAAGGGACGAGATTCGCCGTAGAACCGATGTTCCCAGAGGATCGCGACCCCGTTGTATCGCTTTGCTAAGCGCATCGTGGCGGACAGCCCGTGATACTCTTGTAGGTAGTACGGCAGCAGTGGCTCCGCATTCTGCTCTCCCGAGTCGAATACTTCGAAGCAGACATCCGTCAGCAACAGGTAAACGTTAGGTCGGAGTGGGAAAACGTACTGAACACAGGGCCGCCCGGTTTGTAGTAGGTCGAGTTGACCCAGTATCTGTTCATGAATGTGCCTGAGGTGTTACCGAAATGGTCTAGTGGCATCTGGAGCTGACGCCGTTAGCTAAGCCTCCCAACACAGGACTGCTTGCCCACCTCGAAGAACAGCGCATCGTTCCGCGCGAGCTCATCCCTGGACAGTACAGGCGGCCAAGTCTCCCTGAACCGCAAGGAAGGCGCGAAACGAGCGGTCACACAAACACAAAAGGAAAGCAGGCACACAAAGATGCAAGCGGCCGACGATCGGGTGGACCCACAGGCTAACATCGTGCTGCGGAGCTGGGAGCCTTGCGATATAGGCGCCCTACAACGAGCGCATCCTTATATGCGTTGCCCATGTGTGGTTGCAGTTCGCGAGAGGAAGAGAAGGGAACGAGAGCTGCAGGAGGTAGGAGATAAGAGTGATACCATGATCGACCTTCGCGTCTTCTCTCCAGCATCCGGCACGACGCAGTGTGCACCGCAGAAACAGCGGCCCGCTTAGCCGAGGCGGTTCCCTACAACGGTCCGGGTTGCGAGCTAAGAATGTATCCCCGAGGGATGCTGTAGCTGTGCTATCTCTGGGGAATCTGCCAGATAGATATACATGGATGTACACATTAAGTTGCAACTTGGTGACGAGTCGCAGGTCATACTACGGGGGCACTCGCGCTGTGTGGAATACCGTAGCGCTTCTTCTCCCAATCCGTCCACTCGAAGACGGGGAGAGGGTGTGCCTCGGTGTTGAACACCCAGCGATCTAGGGGTATGAGGTCATGGTCATCGAATAGGAGGTATAAGTACTTGAGCCTGTGGGCATCCGGTCAGCAATACGGCCATGACGACAGTAAAATGGGAACACGTACGTCTCCGCGGTGAAGAAGCTGCAAGCAAAGACATGAGCATCACATACCCTGGAGATGTAGCGGTTACGTACCTCGGCATCTCGTCCTTCAGCCGGGCAGGGGACGTCTCCACGGAGGACACGCTAGCGTACCCGACGGCCGTCCTCGTCTCCTTCTCTATCGCCTGGAAGATTGCCCAGCCGCGCTCGCGCCATGCGTCATCGCCCGTTGTCTTCCACATGATGTAGATGCTTTCCACGGTCTGGAGGATGCGCGTCAGCACCCGCCTACACTTACCTGCACCAGCACGTACCTCGGGTCTGAGCAAGTAGTCCGGTCGAATCGCCTTGTAATCACGCTCCAGTGTGTCCTTTTGCGGGGGCGCTGCTGCCAGACCAGGCGGCACACCGCCCGGACGCCCCTGCCGCTCCCACGTCTCGATCAGGTCCACCCACAGCCCGCCACGGGGGTGATCGTCGTCCACGGGCATGGGCGTCATGTACATGATGTCCGGCCCCAGGCCTGTCTCGTGATCGACGTACGTAAGCCAGCACGTGTACGCAAGGCCCTGCGCCGCCCACTCGTGCCGCTGCCGGTCGCGCGGGGAGAGCGGCAGGGTGTGCGCGCCGAGGGCGAGGAGCCCGGGAGGAAGCACGAGAGGTGCTCAAAGTTGTGCGTGGGGCCCGAGCTGCTCGTGTCGGTTACGTAGAGCAGGTTGCGGTTGGGGGTGACATAGAGCAGGGTGTTAAGGATCGCTTCGACGTCTCGAATATCTGCACAAGATGTCAGTACCGTGCGGCATCATAGACAGTAACAGCCAGATCAAGTAGAGTGAGTCTCACTGAGCCCCGACCACTCCCAATGTCATGACAAAGCAAACCCCATGAGGACAGCGTGTTCGGGACGTGGAGTGACCTGGCGTCGACGGATGTTCCCCAGATGGTTGTGACCCGTCCATGTCAGACTATTATGTGTACAGTGGACATCAAGCTATTCTCAGAATTAGGGCAAGTATGGGGTGACGATGTGGGGGCCGAGGCTAGGGTAAGCCCGGCACTGTCCGCGCACCCGCGATTGACGACTGCTCAGGCTGACCACGAGCCACAACAGCCCACTTGATGAAGTGCGCTGTGAAGAACACACCGGGCGCATCTACTTGTCAGTGACCGACGTCGACGGGCCCGATTTGTCCTCCACTACGCGGTTGATGCCTCAGTGGGACTCGGCAGGTTTGTCGAGTCACTCTCAGAGCTAGTAGGTACCACATAGTGGACTGTGAGGGAACGCACACATGCTGAGAGCCTTGGTCTCGGATTTGGCGGTCATCAGCCATTGCTTGAGCAGGTATTCATGGGCGCTGTCAGCGAATGCACCAACGGAGAACTGGTCTGGGGGAGAAAGATGGTGTAAGTGAATCGCTCTCCTCAAGTTCACCCCAACGTACTGTTAGTAGGCTTGCCCGTATCGACAGACCATTTTGTGGCAAACTGATCATCTTCCACGTCGGCCTCGTTCATGATGTCCATGATATGTTCCACCTAGCGTGCCTGGTTAGGTGTGAACGTATAGATTGACAATTGTGTTGACCTTCTCGAAGTACTCTTGACGGCCGGTGAGGTGGGCTAGGTACTTGTACTCCATCTGGCAGCTCAATGCCTCCGCCCAGAGGATGTTGGATCCAGTCCATCCTGCTCGTGTGTTGCCACTACGCTCCCAATTTCAGCGCCCGTGGTACAAGTGCACGGAGAAGCACTCACGACACGGTATTGACGGCATACATAGGAAGGCCGTGGGTGGTATTGAACGCGGGCAGTAGCATAGCGCCGAGATCATCGGCTCGAGTGAGCAGGATGGGTTCTCCGGAAATGGCGTAGGCAGAGAGAAGCCCTCCCAGATAGCGAATAACAGTTTCGAAGAAGGGCGCATAGGAGCCCTGTGTACATTGAGGGGAACTGACACAAACTCCGTGTCTACAAAGCTCACCTCTTCGAGCGCGAAGGTCATGTTGGATATGAGAGGCACCGTCTGGAGGAACTCCTCATGCAACCCCATGATTAGCATCGTGTCGAGGCTATCTACCATTGTAAGACGCCATCCATTGAAGCTGATCATTATGAGTACGTGCGCGCTATACCCCAGGATCACTCAATACATACTTGTTCACCGAACCGTTCGAGACGGGTAATAGCTCGTCCTGAGACCCGGCATACTCTGTGTACCCTCGATATGCATGAGAGAACGCATCCTTGACACTGTCCGCGCGCTCAGACCACTTTGAAGCTGGACGAGTGTGCGTGGGAGGTCCACCCGGAGGCGGTGGAGGGGGAAATATGCCTCCGAACGGCGGGTGGGGAGGAAATGGTCCCGGACGGTAGAATGGATCGTCAGAATGGGTCGGATGGTCCAGGTACAGTGAGTGGTCGTTCACACCAAAGTGCGCGACAGCCCAGAGAAAGAATGTCGCAGCAGCGCCAATAGGTAGAAAGCGGTAGGCTCTCTTCTTCCGGACGAAATCCATATTCGAGAGCCAGGGCAATGTGAAACACGAGATTACGCTCCCATAGGTCGGACGAGAACAGCAGCAGCAATAGCAAGCTTCAGACTCAGAGCTTCAGGCGAGGGTAATAGACGAGGGTCGGGAAGGAGTGGATAGGCCGCCCCCACAGTTTGGAAGAGGATGAGAAGCGCGAGGGGGGAGAGGAGGCTGGCTGGGAAGAGGCGGCCATGCCGCTGTGTTGCCGGAGCGTCCATGCCAAGTCCCCGCTCGGCGTGCTGGCAATCCGTCGCCAAGAGATCATATTCGTCGAACAGCCACCGCCCGCTCACACCACCTTCGGCAGATGTCCCAAGCTCGTTATGGCAATCGCTCAAGAAACGTCTGCTCCCACGCTGCCTCCCCAAGTTATCTCCATCGTGGAGCGAGTGTTCAACAGGACTCTCAACGGTACGAGGACTTCTCCGAATTCCTCTCTACTCCAAGAGCTGCTTTTCTGATTTGGGGGTTACACCCAGCACTTCTTCAGCCAGTGACTGCGGCACCTTGCTAGCGTTTCTCTAAGAATTTGTATTGTCAGTGACCCTCGGCACTCAGTTACCTTCACACCAGTATTGCAGAAGTGGACACTCACCAGTTGTCTCACCCTTGGCATGCGCGGGACTGAGGGTCTGTACAGTACGTACAGCGCTGGGCCATAGATGAATGTGGATAGCGCAGTGCTGACACAGGCGAGATGGCCGAGCGGTCTAAGGCGCCAGACTAAGGCATTTGAACGATTGGTTCATAGCATATCTGGTCCGAAAGGGCGTGGGTTCGAATCCCACTCTCGTCATTCCATTTTTGGTTCACAATTCTCTAGGTTGTCACGAGTGAAAAGAGAGCGATGGAACGGTAGGAATCAGCCGGTTGCAAGCGCGGAGGCTTGCAGGTTAACGGCAGCTTCGTCTTCGGATGAATGGGCGCCCAAAGCGCCGATCCCCGAAGCTAATTGTCCCGAAGTCGGGCATTACGCATGCATCATCGCTTGTTTCGCGTCTGCCACCACTTAACCACCCTCTGCCGACTGCTTCACCACTGTCTGCTCATCCTACGCCCACACAACAACATGGCTACGACTGCAAGTGCTCCAAATACCGCCAGCTCCTCAACAAAGTCGTCGCTGCCTCCAGGGATGGTGATCGGTCCGGACGGCAAACCCTGCAAGATATGCACTGCGTTCCGCAACTGGAAGCCCCGCGTCGACAACAACAAGCCCAAGAACACGGTGCAGTCCAACGCCACACAGGGCACGTCAAACCAGCAAAAAACTGCTGCGATGATGGCCGCGTTCGCTTCGGGCACCGGCTTTGCCTCTACGTCCCACAAACAGCAGCAGCAGCAGCAGCAGCAGCACGCCTCCGCATCCGCCCCAGAACAAGAGTACGTGCGTCCGCCGAACTGCCCTCCGGACGTGGAGGAGCTCGGGCGCGCGACTTGGACGTTCCTGCACACGACCGCGGCGTACTACCCCGACGCGCCGAGCATGGCCCACCGGGTGAACATGCTCTCGCTGCTCCGCTCGCTACCGGTGCTCTACCCCTGCTCGGTATGCGCGTCTCACCTCGGCGAATGTATGAAGGCCGCCCCGCCGGACGTGCGCAGCCGCGCCGCGCTCAGCCGGTGGTTGTGTGAACGGCATAATGAGGTGAACGAGCGGCTGGGGAAGGAGAAGTTTGAGTGTACGGTGGAGAAGCTGGACGAGAGGTGGAAGGACGGGCCAGCGGACGGAAGCTGCGATTGAACTAACGGTGTCGAATGGTGAGTTGTCACCTTCATACTCGAGAATACACGTATCCAAGACGCCGCTGCTGGACAGAATCATGCAGCATCTCCGACGCCCAACATCCCCACTCAGACATTGTAACACAATCCTCAATGGTGAGTCGCCCTTGCCAAGTGCGCTGGATAACACTCAGTGTAGCCATCGACAATGTGCAGCTATCCATTGAAAGGCATCGGACATTAGTCATTCTGGGTATCGGACATCCCAACTCATACTGCTATAGCACAAGAATGGACTGTTGATCCAACAGATGCATCACTCTCTGGAGTGCGAAGTACGCATGCACACTCGCGAACGCACACCAGATCCTGCGTCTTCCGACCTCTTGAGGCCGAGACAATTCTCAACAACTGTCTTATGCGCATGGGTACTCGTCTACACCTCTTCGTGGCGTCGGTATTGTCGCGAGAGCGGGTGGGTGTACATCCTCCAATTCGCGTGTCGTTCCTCGAACGACGCTCGCCGCGACCTCTATGGGTTGACTGCTTACCCTTCCATCTCGCTTCTCCATTCATCCCTGTATCTTTTGCCTCTCAGTTCAAGTGTAAGGCGTTTTGCAGAGCTCGCTTGCAACCCTTACGGTTGAAAGGACGAATCTATCGCAGACGAGTTTGCAGGCTCTCACGTGATCGTGATAGGACGCGTCTGTGGCACCCCTCGCGTCGGTACGGGAGGTCGTCTCCTTTTACATGCGGCATCCATGGAGGACGGACGGTTCAGCGCTGCTCACAATATCGACCGGCGTCCTGTTCTTCCTGGTGTCCCCGGGAGGCTGACCTCTTCGGTCCATGGACCGAATATGATCGGCGGCTGACACGGTCAGCCTCATCCCACTACCCTATATCCTAGACGTGCGCGCATTCCGTCTTCGTTTCGTCCTCCCACTACCTCCTCGTCCCTCGTCAGTACCTACGCTTGCTCTCAGTCTCATCCCAGCTTCGGTATTGTCTCCTTGTTTTTCATCGTGACGTCTCCTCATCCATTCCAGACTCACCTCCAACTCAAGCTTCAATCGATACTCTTCACACTAGCTCGCACTCAATAACTGCACCGAAGGATACTGGGTAAGGGTTTTTTTTATTTTCCTTTTGTCGCCCCAAGTCGCTGCTCCCATCCAGGTACCCCGCCTCAAGGTTTGTCAACAAGTCAACGCTCGTCTTCAAGCTCGCACCAACTAGGCCGCCCCTCAAGCCCTGCTCACATTCTTCTCCTTCACAGTTACCACACCATCGCCGTCAAGCCCAACGTCCAACCTCAAGCATGCCACCCTCCTTCAAAGCCACTCAAGCTCCGATCACCACCTCGCACCCGACCCGCCTCAAGCCCTTTCCTCAAGACTACTAACTACTGACCATCTTTCTTAGGTACCCGTCATCGCCCCCGTCGTCGCCACTTCGTTTCTTTTCGCCACCCCCCTTCAAAGCCAATCAAGCTCCGATCTCAACCGCCTCAAGCCCCGCCACCCTCCTTCAAAGCCAGTCAAGCTCCGATCTCAACCGCCTCAAGCCCCCGCCTTGCCTCAAGACCTACTAACTACTGACCGTCTTCCTAGGTACCCGCCATTGTTATCGTCTTCCCAAATCGCTCCACCGCTACCCTCCTTCAAGGCCAGTCAAGCTCCGATCTCAACCGCCTCAAGCCCTACCACCCTCCTTCAAAGCCATTCAAGCCTCGATCCCGACTGTCCCTGACCCGCCTCAAGCCCTCGCCTCAAGACGTACTAACTACTGACCGTTTTCCTAGGTACCCGCCATCGTTATCGTCTTCCCCAAATCACTCTACCGCCACCCTCCTTCAAGGCCAGTCAAGCTCCGATCTCAACCCCCTCAAGCCCCCGCCTCGCCTCAAGACCTACTAACTACTGACCGTTTTCCTAGGTACCCGCCATCGTCATCGTCTTCCCAAATCGCTCCACCGCCACCCTCCTTCAAGGCCAGTCAAGCTCCGATCTCAACCGCCTCAAGCCCTGCCACCCTCCTTCAAAGCCATTCAAGCCTCGATCCCGACTGTCCCTGACCCGCCTCATGCCCTCGCCTCAAGACGTACTAACTACTGACCGTTTTCCTAGGTACCCGCCATCGTTATCGTCTTCCCCAAATCACTCTACCACCACTTTCCTTCAAGGCCAGTCAAGCTCCGATCTCAACCGCCTCAAGCCCCCGCCTCGCCTCAAGACCTACTAACTGCTTCTCTTAGGTACTCGTACTCGTTCTCGCCTCCGCTTCAAAATCGCTTCGCTCGCTCGTCACATCGCCTCAAGCCACCGCCTCAAACCCTCGCCCCCCCGGTCTACTCACTTGTTCTTCTTAGGTCCCAGCATTCCATCACATCCTCCTCCTCCTCAAGCTCGTTCCGCCGCCTCATCACCTCAAGCCCCACTCGCTCGGTCAAGGTAGGCCTCCACTTCTCTCTCGCGCTAGGTACGTTGCTCTGCTCTCTGGTTTCCAGGTAGGTCTCTTCTCTTCGCTCAAGGTAGGTCTCTCGCTCCGTCAGGTAAGTCCCTCTCCTCTCCGGCACCGCAGGACATCAAGGAGCAAGGTGCGTCGTTTCCTTCTTCCCGAGGGAGGGACTTCGGTCCTGGCGCATACCTTTTCGTGGTCCTCGGGATAAGTACCCGCCCGCGCGCTGCCCTCATCCGGGGCGGCGCGCGGGTGGCGAAACCAAAATGCGCTCTCTTGTCGGTATAGTTTTCTTTGTGCTATTAATGGTCGTAGTGAGAAGGAACGACGCCGCCCGGAGATAGTTCAATGAGGACACGTGCTTGCGTGACCTAACGCGTAGTGCAGGGTGGCGTTTGTGCGTAGCTTGTTGGACTATACTTTTGCGCGCCATAACTTCAGTGAGAGCTCCTTGCTCGCATATGTAGTCAGCTACGAACGTTAACTGTTGCCACTGAGGGTGTTATGTACCTAGTTTGCAAGACTTGCGGCTGAAGACAGTTCCAGAATCCCTTTCGACCATATGTGTGAGGCGTATGTGTTGAAACCTAGTTTCGGCAAAATGCGCGACTGTGGGCAATCGCCAAGTCGGCACCTTTCCTCCTCCTGCTACTGATAGCCAAACTGCAGGAAGGGTGGTGCGGCAACTTGAACTTAACCTGAACGAGAACCTCGTCTACGTCTTGCGGTGTCTCGGAGACTTGCGGCTAAATAATCAAGTGGTGACTTCACCTCAGGCCAAAGTGAGGGATGATAGGAGGGTACCGCCATTGCCATACGATACTGTATGGTCACGCCGGATTGCATCACGTAGACAGATGCAAAGTCTGCCGGTGCGTGTTGAAGTCTTTCGCGATAAGTCATCATCTCCAGATACCAACTTTCACTGTATTCGCAGTCTGTACGTCAATCGTCCCATTCACGTCGTTAAATTGGCGGCACGATTGTCATACGGCTGGATCGGCTCTGACTGCGAAGTTCAAGACCCACATCGACCAGCGAGGTCGCAGTCAGCCCGACCCTCTGCTGCCGTCCCAATATATCGTCGGCTCCCGCAGAAGCTTCGCAATAAGGTATTTCCTCCTATACCGACTCTAGATTGACGTACGGCCCTTGCGCTTACAGTCCTGTCGTGGTGAGCATGGTGTGTCACTGTCACCGCACATCCATCCGGGTCTCAATTGGGTACTAGATCATCGTCCGCATAGGTTCGAACAGGCCGACTTCGGTGGTCATAATAGGTGGTAATCCCCCGGATGCGTTAGGCTGACATTTCTTGCGGTTATGATGACAAGTATCATTGAGGTGCGCAATCTCGCAGTCCGTGACTTCCCGTGTCCATTGGCAGCCGTTGCGGTCACGTTTGAGTACTGCCTGACTCCGACTCAGTCCATTGGTAGCATCAATGTGCCGAGGCTCTGTTATGGGGACGAACATCGGCTGGCTGAACATCACAAGCCGCGGACGGAAGCTGGTGCGGTACTGGTGGCAGCCGGACACGGCTCTGAAGTGGCTGTCCGACGTTGGGATACACTGCGTATCCCGATGGAAGCGGGGTTACTGCTTTCGGTA